GGAAAAAAATAAGAACCAAGATACTCATGTAATGGTACAAGATCCCAATGATGAATGTAACTGTATTTTATACCAAAAATGTACCAATAAACTTAATGGGGAAAAAAAAAAAAGAATGGAGGCAGGATCAATGACATCACTTCAAATATTATATATGCTTCCCACAGATATGAGCTTATTCTTTCATTTACTCACAAAGACAGCAACAGTGTTCATGTCCCCTAAGGACAGTGGACAGAACCCTCAGTGACACTAACATCTTTCCTTTCATTTATTAATCACAAATCATCCAAAAATATATTCACATTTTTCTTTTTAAATAAAAATCAGTGACTACGAGAGGATGTGTAATGATTATATTCACACTTTCAATGTTCACATTCAGACTTTTTCCATGTTTCAATAAGGAGCCATTAGTCTTTCAGTTTTTGTTAATTACAGGAAGTTGTTTATTAAAATATTCTTATAGTAATGCATTAAGCATGATTTGCCATATTTATTGCCATAATTATTTAATGTGCATATTTTAGTTCAATTTATTAAATATTATTGTGCTAAATGTATGACTTAATTAAATAAATTCTGTATCACTTTTAAAATGAGAGATGCAGGCCAGGGATTTAACTCAGTGGTTCTGCCACCTGCCTCGCAAGCGCAAGGACCTGAGTTCGATCCCCAGTACAAAAAAATAAAATAAAATAAAATAAAATGAGAGATGCATTGAGCAACTCCCTGAAACCCAAAACAACAAAATGGAGAGGACGTCCAAGTCCTCTCCCAGGGGGAACACTTTAGTCTGTTCCTCGAACTCAAAACTTCAGAAATGAACACCAGTCCTTGACACATCGGCCCCTTCAAAACTGGACGATGTGTACCTGTCCTTGACTGTATGCATGCATGGATTCACTCTGAACAATAATGTCTACATAAATGAACAATTAAAGATGATAAACACATTCCCTGACAGCCCTAACGCCTGTACAAGCAGATTTCCCACAGACACACAGGACCTCAGGTTACAGACTGGATTTCAACAGAGTACTTGATTCAGATGCCCCACGCACACTCATCATTGTTCCAGACTTGGTATTCTGTGCTTTAATTTGGGTGTATTGTTCTTTGTGGATACACTAATAATATAGCCACTGTCCACGGATTAGGGGGAAAACAATCCTTGATATGGATAGGTCACATTCCAGGTGTTGCAAATATGAATTAATCCATTTCCTTGGACCACATCCATTTGCTATTGGTCACTGGTCCATGCTTGGGGCTCTTTTATTTCATATCCGTGTTTGAAAGATGATAGCATGAATGACCCTCTTATGCCACAGCCAAGGAGAAAGCCAGACTCTGCATTTTCTTGTCTTCTCCTCTCAGTGGATTAACAGTCTATAACAATGCCAAGGGAGAAGTGTTGGAATTCACTGTAGTATAAAAATAAAATACCTTGTTAAAAACTCTCAGAATGGGCTGGGGATTTAGCTCAGTGGCACCGCACCTGCCTAGCAAACACAAAGTTGGTACAAAAACAACAACAAAAAGAAAGAAATCCTCAAAATGGCAGAAATACCACTCATCTTTTTGTCCTAAGGAATTCAGCTGTGCTGAATTGGATTAATCATAATTATAATTCATAAAGAATTTCTATCATTGGTCAGCGCATGACCACTTTTGAACTTATTCCTTTGAAATAATTCTGTGAATACTGTGATCAAGACCCTCCCCCAGAAAGAACACAAATTTTTATTCTTACTTACATTGATATTTTCTCTCCTTAAAAGACAAGGTCTTCACCAGGAGATAATAATTAAAACAAGTAGACTGGGTTCACTCTGCAGAGCAGAAAACAAAGCTCAAATCTACTAAAATAGTCTGATTTAGCTGTTTTAAATGAACCACAGTTAGGTAGCAATCAAATAACCATAAACTTTGTTTGTGTTTTATTTTGAACAGTTCGGAAGACAGCACTACTTTACATTTATTGTTATGTAATTTGAAAGAGAGAACAATATATTTATTAACTCATGTAATTATTGCTTTAAATAAATAATTAACACTACTGAATTAAAAAACAAGGAAAATTACTGTAATTATTAGGGACATCTGACTGTACTTTTTACATACAATAGGCAAGAGCAAAGTTATCATTCTGTTGGACTTTGGACAAAATTGGATACATGGGAGATTTAACACATGGCATAACTTGCCAATGTTTCAAGCTTGACCATTCTTACTATATTTATTATGTCTCTCACTAACTGAGGCATTTACTAGGGATCGTTTTACTAAAAGAATTGTTGTAAGCTTACATTCACCAAAACAAAATCCATACACTGAATTAGCAAAAGTCTGTATGGCCACGGAAAAGGTCTAGGACTCTGCCTTCCTATGGATGTCAATCAAGAGTAATGTGACAAACCAGGAACTCTAAGTCCAATTGCACGCTTTCCATTGGTACTTCCATCACCAGCTTTCTCAAAAATGGATTGAGACACAAATAGTTATGTATGTAAATGCATTTCGGTTTACTTAAAAAAATAATCAGTGGACAGCCTGCCTCAACATGGAATAAAACCATTCACTCTCTAGTACAGGGGACCATCTGGTTTCTAAGAGTCCTAAGAGCCTTCACTGCTAACTTCCTGGGACTAAGAGTTTCGAATTTAATAATAACCCATGTTTTATTACATGTCTTAAGAAGTAAATACATGCATAACTCTTATATTCTTTATTTATTGATACATTCTGTATGAATGGCTAGTTTTATTATAGTTAGGTAATTCATGCCCACTCCCAAACCACAAAAGCAAGAACAAGGTTCTGGGGATTCATTTTGCATGAAGAGAATACAGGTATCTCCTTGCTATGGACCTGAGTGCCAGGTGGGTTTAATCAGAGTCCTTGTTTCAGAAACCCCATGCTATTCATCACTGGTCCATTCTTGACTGTCCCATGAGACCTATCAGCCAAGATCTCTGCCCGTATGGGAATGTGGAAGTCAACCATGCTATCAAGAGAACAGAAAAATGTCCTGATAATAATTTAATAACTTCTACCTTCTTTTAAAGTAATTTCAGTTGTTTTAATTTAGATTAAACATAATTTGTGATTATTACACATTCCAATTTTTGGTCCCTATCTGGAAGGTTTTATTTATTTTATACATGTAGTTGCTACTTTGAAATCCTGCAGCTAGTACCATGAACAAACCAACCAAATGAAGATCATGAACTAAGAGACTTGCCTGTATTATATCTCTGCTCCTTATTCTGGATGACCATTCTTTATTAAACGATTAAATCAGCTGTCCTGTATTCAGCCTGGGGATAGGAAAAAATTGATTTAGATTTTGTAATGAGTTAGTCAAGCAGAATGAGATACTTATAACTTTGGCTCAAAAATACAATTTTTTTTTAGTCTAGGATAGAACTTTCAGTTTTAAATAATATGATAAACAGTACTGACTACATCACCTGGTCCAAGAATAAGACCTACAGCAATTACACATATCTGCCAAGATAAACATCTATTAAGAAAATGGTTATTTAGTGGGATATTAGTTGATGCACACATTTTCCCTTTTGTAATTAAAAAAGTGAACAGCAAACTCCAAAAAACTGTCTCAACTACAGATACTAGAATGCTCTGCATAAGAGAGAATCAGAGATTCCATCTGTTCATTTTACTTCTATTTAATAATTGCACTTGTTGTGCTTGCTTCAGCAGCACATATAATAAAATTGGAATAATAATTGCACTTGTTTTATGGCAAGTAATAATATTGACAATACTTGTTTTATTGTACTTCATTAATTGTTCCCTAAATAGGCCTGCTGATCTTCTTTTGTGTGTATATTTATCTGCTTACTTATGTATTGATTCCCTTGAAATAATATATTCCATATCTTTAAAACACAAAATCCCAAGGGCAGCTCATTGAATTTCCCTGACTTGTGCTCTTAGGGTTTCTACAGAACACCTTGCTGGCTCTCATTCTGCATCGGACCTCAGAGTTACACAGAGGGCTTAATCAAATGTGCTAGTTAGCTCAGACCCCTCCACTGATATGCTTCATTGATCTGGGCTTGGCTCTCTGTATCTCTGGTTACTTAACCTTCTCAGATTGATTTGGCCATATATGGATCCACAATAATTGCATAATCAATGCCCTGCAATGACAGAAAACTGAGAACAAGAGTCTTTAATGGAACTAAAATCTGTTCATTGCTCTCTTCGCTACAGAGCAAATGGATTCTGTCACTTCTCACAAGAAACTTGGCTCACACATGCGGGTTGATCATGGCACTGCTCTTCAGGTCAGTCCTTTCATAGGACTGGGGTCTGCCCTTCCCACAAGGCTCTGTAATCAACACCATGGACCTACAAATTAGCCACAGTATCAGAGCTGACATCTGCTACCTTCTGGGCATTCCTGCTGAGGTGCGAGTGAGATGCTTCCTAATGAGGGGCCGTAATAAGCAACTGCAGTCAATGCAGTAAAGGAGAAGTTAAATACGCAAAATGCTCTCTGTAGCTTTAGTAATGTCCTCATTAGGGTTGAGATGAATTAATCAAACTTTTTGTCCATTGCTATAACAAGTCTGTGATTGGCATTCCTTAATTTCATATATTATTTAATAATTTATTGTATGGAAATAGTTTAGTGGGCATCCACAAAGAAATGCCATTCAAACACAGAATTGAACTTTGAAGTATTTACTTACACCAGTTCGTGATAGTGATGCTCCTCATAATTAGACAATGATAAAATCTCCCATGTGATTTGCAGAGGAACCAGTATTTTTTAAAATATGTTCTTGTTTTCTCAAGAGCCAAATTATTACAACTTGAAAAACTCCATGTGCATCTTTCAAACAATTGGAGACCTCAGAATTTTTCTTAGAATACCTGCCAGAGAAAAAACCACGAATCAGCACTGTCATATTATAACATTTGTCCCTACTTGGCCCATGGTTTGCTGACCTTTAAAAAAATAAATTGAGACGTAAAATCATGTCTTTCTTGAATACAAAGACATTGATAACTGTCCCGTCACGGCAGGAGGCCACAACACTGAAAGTGCCACATCGCTTCTTTTTAGGGTTTTCACAAGAGTCAGTAAACATGAAAAGACTGGATTAAAATTCTCATCGTTGGACTCTGTTAGTCTCGCCATTATGTGGTTGTTTAGCAATTATTTGTATGAGTAAATGTATTTCATTTCCTTTATAAAACAATCAGTCAGCAATCCATTACCAACACAAAACAAAAACTTTTATATACAAATGTCCCTTACCAAAATAGTAAGAGCCTTGACTACTAATGTATTTGGAGTATCAGATAGGTTGTAATCCATGGCTCATTAAATTCTTTTATAATAATTACATAATTTGACCTCTTTTTTCATTCATACATGTTTTTTGTTCATAGGCTGACTTTTTTTTTTGTATTAAATTCTTTTATTGGTACATTGTAGGTATACAACACAATTACATTTCTCATTGGGAATTGTACCTTTATATAATGCATCTTGGTTCGTATTTTTTCCCCATTCCTAGCCCTCCCTTCACGCCCTCCACCCTTCCCTATTTACAAAGACTTTATTTCCATTTTTTCCATTTCTCAGCATTTTTTCCTTTCCCTTCTTTCCTTTCCTCTGCGCCTTCCACTACCCCTACCCCTTTGGACCTTTCATTCCTATTTTACATTATCGATTATCCATTCTAATTATTGGTAAATTTTAGGTATACAATATAATGACATTCATCATTGGAAAACTGCACCTTTACATAGTCTCTCTTGGTTCTTGTTTTTCACCCTTGCCCAGCCCTCCCTTCAACCCCTCCAGCCCTCCCTATTTACAAAGATTTTGTTCCTATTTTTCCATTTTCTCATATTAATCCCATTCCCTTCTATCCTTTCCCCTAGCCCTCCCACTTCCTTCCCCTTTGCCCCTTTTCTTCCTATTTCACATGACCTATTATACATTTAGTCATAGGCTGACTTTATAAGAAAAGTAAAATCTAGGATGAGGGCATAACTCAGGAACAGAGGGCAGGTTGGGTTTGACCCCTAATGCTGTGCACACACATACATACATACACATTCAAGCACGTGCACATGCATGTGCGCGCGCACACACACACACACACACACACAGGCACACAGTAAAATCCATCCAAAAAACCATGAAAGCCCAAGTACATGTTAGTATGGGCTCATACCCCAAAGAAAGAATGATTACATGTCTTTTTGTAACAGACCTCAGAGATCCATTCGGGTTTAATCAAAATATCCTGTTTCAGATACCCCATGGTACTCATCATGGGTCCAGGGCACATTTTTCTTCCTTAATTTATTAGTTTATTCATTCACGAATAACATTACAGTCACGAAATTCTAAGAACAAGATTTCCCCATTGGTTGCGGTTCCTTCCTAGACTAGATCTCCTCTCACACTGGACCTCAGAGAATGTGTGAGATTAACTAGCAAATCTGTATTTGCCAGTGGTCCCCGGTGGCCTTTTTTGAGTCAATTTGCCCATGTTTTAAAGATGGTTCAATGAAAAGTGATGAGACTGCCATCTTCAAATACTTGAGGTAGATTTCACATTTTCTCCAGCTGTCTCATGAGGGGTTACCAGCCAGGATCACATCAGTAGGGAAATGTGTAAATCATTTGTGGTAGAAAATAAAACAGAATATCAAATGTTTCTGAAAATTAAACAATGACTAAATCATCTCCAAATGAGATCAAACATATTTTCGGTTCATTACACATTCCCATCATTGGTTCATTCTCGGAGATTTTGTTTCTTTTGTAGACATGGATTCCATAGAACTCCACTAAACATGAACAAAGCATTCCACAGGACTTGAACTTGAGGTCTTACTTACATTATTCTCTATGTTCCTTGCCCACAGAGCTAACTGCCAAGAATTTGTTTCTTAGAACAGCTGAGTAAGTCAGCACTTGTGGACATTCTGTGGAAGAAAAGTAGGCTTAACCAAATAGGAATAAACATTGGACCTTTTTAAAATAATCCAGCATTTTATTTTCACTTTTAAGTAATGTAATAGCCACTGTTGCATCTACCATCCAAGAATAATATCTATCATTACTACAAGTATCTGCTACATAAATACTCTACACATATTGGTAACAGACTACCTTTTAATGGGCCTTAGATGGAATTTAGTAATAAACCCTTATTGCACAACACATTCTCACTATGGTACAGAATTTACTTGGTCCCATGTATTCTTTGATGTGTACTTAAATCATTTGTATATACTACATTTGTACATCCTATGATCCTTCGTCACCAAAATAATCACGGAGGGTTCATGGTTAGAGATTGATTAAAGCAGACATGCGGTGTTTAAAATACACAAAAAGAGAGAAAGAAAACTGATATGATGAAGTAATATGGGTTTAGGTTACTTTTCAACATTTATCTGCAGTACTAGATTGATCAAAACCCCTAGTTTATACCTAATTTTCATCATTTCCCCAAGAATGGTAGGTTCTCTCACTTATTTTTAAATAACAGAGTGAATACTACGGACTCTACCATCAACTAAAAATAAGAATTATCTTTCAAAATATCTCTGTATTTTAACAGCTTTAACAAATAAAAATCACTTTAATGGGTGTTACTTTTGCTGAGTTTGTAAACATTTAAACCTTTATTCCAATTCCTAGTGATGAGCTATTTGATTCTACCTTATACATTCATTCATTTATTCGTTTACTTAATTGCTCATGGAATTATTTGGCATGTTTATTTTCTAAAGAATAGCTGAAATGATAACTCAGCCAGTAATCCAGAACTGAAATACTATTGTGTGCTACGATCTACATGCAAATTAGGTATTTTTTCTATGACTATCAGCACTAAAAATCCAAATGAATAATTACCATTATCTTAGAAGACATAATCTTCATTGATCTGTAGTTTTCTTCTTTCAAATAAATGTAAGATTTTATTGATTCATTCAATTATAATAATAGGGGTTACTACAAAGAAACTAGAAATGAGTCCTGAATAACAGTAACATGTCTATTCCTTATTCAAATAAATGGCTGACTAGATCATTTGGGGGTTGTTAATAACATTTAATGAAGACAGTCTGATCATTCTGAATTTTTCTCATCTGAAACATGGTCAGTGTGTGCCCATAACTGCTCCCCACCCAATTGGACACATGTTCAATAAGGCATTTACATAAAGTTTCCCTTTTTATGAAAAATGAACAAACAATAGATGCAGTGAAATTAATTAGACAGAGGGAAATTTATATCATTGAGTACATAGATTAAAGAAATGAAATGCATCTGAATAGGAAAGGAAGATGTGAAACTGTCTCTATTTGCTGACAATGTGATTGGATACATAAAAAACCCAAGACTCCACCAAAAAAAAAACAAAACCTGTTAAAACTGATAAATAAATTCAGTAAAATTGCAAGGCACAAAATCAACACACAAAAATCATTAGTAACTCTATATACTAACCGAAAGAGTAAATTAAGAAAATTTTAAAATCAAATAATATACATAGAGGTAAATTTAGCCAAGGAGATAAAAAATCTGTGTACCAAAAACTATAAAACACTGATGAAAAAAATTGAAGAAAACCCAAAAGACTGCCATATGATTCAGCAATCCCACTTATATATCCAAAGGAACTAAAATTAATATGGCAAAAAAAAATCTACATTCCTATGTTCACTTAAGCATTCACAATAGTCAATTTATGGAATCAACATAAATATCCATTAGTAGATGAATGGATAAAGAAAATGTGGTATAGGGCTGGGGATTTAGCTCAGTGGTTTCGCTGCCTGCTGTGCAAGCGCAAGGACCTGAGTTCGATCCCCAGTACCAAAAAAACCCAAACAAAACAAAAAAGAAAATGTGGTATATATACTCAATGGAATACTATACAGTCTCAAAATGGAGAGAAAGTCTGTCATTTGTGACAATATGGAGGGGACATTGTACTAAGTTGTAAGACAGGCACAGAAAGACAAATACCACATGATCTCACATTTGTGCAATCTAAAAACATTGAACTCTTAGAAGTAAAGAGTAAAAGGGAAGGGAAAGTGGGGGAGGGGAGAAAGAAAAAGAAAAAATATGAGAAAATAAAAAAATGGAAACAAAGTTTTTGTAAATAGGGAGGGGTGGAAGGGAAGGAAGGGGAATAGGGAAAAAATAAGAACCAAGATACATCATGTACAGGTATAAATTCCCAATGATGAATGTGATCATAATGTATACTTAAAATGTACCAAAAAGAGTAAATGATGGTAACCAGCAGGTGGAGTTGGGTATGAGGGAGACAACGTGGAGTCATTGTTAAAAACTAGAAAGATTCAGATGGACAGGAAGAATAAATGTGGAGATCTACTGCACAGCAGGGTGACCATAGTCAGTAATAATGTGTTGTATATTTCAAAATTAACACTGAGAGAAAATTTCAAATATTTAATAATAAATGTTAGGTAAGTGAGATAAGAGATTAATTAGCTGGACTGCTTCATCCCAAATTGCATACATATATCACAACACCATGTTTTGTCAATTAAAAATAATATTAATCTAAAATAGGCCCAGGGATTTAGCTCAGTGGTTCTAGCAGCTGCCTCGCAAGTGCAAGGTCCCGAGTTTGATCCCTGGTACCAAAAAAAAAAAAAAAATTAACCTAAAATAAATAAAGATCCAAGAAATTGACAATTTACAGGTCCCACTTTAAGAAACTACAACAAGAAGAGCAAATTAAGTCCAAAGTAAGCAGAATTAAAATAACAAAACTTTAGGCAGAGGATGTAGCTCAAGGGGTCGCACCTGTCTGGCAAGCTCAAAGTCCCTGCCTGGCAAGTGCAACGTCCTGAGTTTGATACCTGGTACCAGGAAAAATTTAAAAACATAACAAAAATTAGAGCAGAAATCAATGAGATCATAGGAAAAAAATCAATGGAAAAAAGCTGTTATTTGGAAAACTCAAAGAGAAAGAGCATAGATTATTATTATGTGAAATGAAGAAGGGACATTACTACAGATCCCATGGATATTAAAAGTATATAAAAGGAATGTTTCACCCACAAATCTGACAACCCAGATGAAATGGATCAGTTTTTTTAATAGACTTAATCTAGCAAACTCACACACAGAGAAAAACAATTTGAATGGGTCTGTATCTATAAAAGAACTTGAATCAATAACTAATAACCTAAAACAGAAACCACCAGGCCGAGATGGGCTCAAGGGTAAATTTCCTCACATAAGGGAAATTTAAAGCAAATCTACAATTTCTTTCAAAAGACAGAAATGGAAGAAATACTTTCTAACTCATTCTAAAAGGGCAGCATTACCCTAATACCCACAAAAGTAAAGGTACAAGAAAGAAAACTACAAATCAATATTTCACATCAACATATATACAAATATCCTCAAAAATGTGAACTAATCAAATACAACAACATATAAAAAGCATTGTGCACCACAATAAAGTGAATTTGTCTCAGGTATGCACGACTGATTCCAAAATCTAAAATCAACTAATTAAACCCATCACATCAACAAGAAAAAATGCATGCGATCATATTAGTAGATACAGAAAAATAACATTTGATGAAATCTAGCACTGATTCATGATTAGAAAGAAAATGTTCAAGTAAGAATAGAGGGAAACCTGTATAACTTCATAAAGAATATCCAAAATAAAAAGAAAACAAAACAATAACCCCATAGCTAATGTTATGCCTAATAGGAAGAAATTTAAACCTTTTAAAGTCACATACAGGACAAGGATGGGCTCTCTCACCACTGATTTTCAAAACTACATTGCAAGTTCTGACTAAATCAGTAAGACAAGAAAAGGAAATAAAAAATAAACAAATAAGAAAAGAAGAAATAAAACTTTCTTCTCTGGTGCCACGTAATCTATATAGTAAAATGGAAAAAAATCAACAAAAGTCTTGTAGGACTGCTACGTGATTATAGAAGGTTACTGGAATTCCACTCTTGCAATCAGTGTGAATTCTATTCCTTATTATCTGACATACTTCCATAATTGAGCCAATCACAGCTTTCCTTTTCTTCATTTTTTTACATATTCTTTCATTCATGCCTTGATTTCTTATAAGGACATAATTTGTATTAAAGAATCTCAAGAATAAAATCTGACTCCTCCTCACTTTTGCTAAAGCTCATTTCCCACACAAATAGCAGTTCTCCTTTTTTAATGGATCTCAAAGCTATAGGGTTTAATTAAAATTCTTGTTCAAACCCTGCAAGGTATTAATCACAGGTCTTGGCTTGTTCACTTCCTTCATTTATTTGTACCACTGTTTACAGATTCATTCATTGAATCATTAATAATAAAATCATCTGACAGAAATCCCAACAACAACAACCATGATATTGTTTAGATCTACAAACCTGATAGACTATCTTCTCTTCCGTGAGGAAATTTAAACTAAATGTGTGATACCAAAGTAAAATGAAATGTATTTAGCCCTCTGCCTTTCTTTGCTTTAAAAGTCTCAACTGTGTTATACTGGAATATAATAGTTCTGTTTTTGTTTCTAAGATAGTACTATCACGGTACAATGCAAAATGCTTTACAACTTTATTTACATATGTACTGATTTACTTCTCTAAAATAATAACATGAGGGGACAAATTTATCAAATCAGAACATAAAGGTTGACTGTTATTTACACTTGTTCCTACACTTTTTAATCCCCCGAAGTAACAGCTATAATTTTCACAATTGGAGAAAAATTAAATACATTGTGTGGAAGAAAAGCAGATTTAAGAAAAAGCAGCCTACATTTAAGTATTTCAAGGGATATCGGTAGGATTGTACCGATTAATCATTAAGTCTCAATTCATGCTACATTTTAATGGCTAGCCCACAAATGCCCTGGAACATTTTAACTGACTTATCTAGCACCTACACAAGAACAAGAAA